GTAATTGTTTCACTCGTGACAATGCATGAAAAGTAGTCAGATACATAACTAATTAGTTTAAAAAGCAAACTGACAGGAGTTTAGAGGGAAACGCAGGCGTTATTTAGATCCAAATTTACAATAGGAGATCTGCGTTGTTCCAAGTTATTTGCAGAATAACGTAAGCCGAATTGACTCAACTCACTTATATTTCATCAATTCAATTAATAAAGTGAAAAACTATATCAAGATAAAAATCATAATGAAACTGAGAAAGGCTAATTGTATTCTCAATTCACAATACTAAAATTACACAACAAAAAATAAAAATTCTAAAATAATATGTTTTTGGATTGATCCAATTGGATTCTAAGGTGTGCCTCCGTGAAAAGTGAAGCAAAAGAGAGATCCAAAATCAGAACTTGAATTCGCAAAAACACTCGGGCAGAGCAGAGCCTCTTCCCATAGCAAAATCATCTCTGTGAACCTTCCACAGTGCTGCCATCAACTCCTTTCCCCTAAGACCCTTTGTGGTTAATTCTGCAAAACCTCTTCTGCTCAAAAATAGAGTCTTGTACAAACCTTTGAAAGCTCTCATTGCTGCAACCATCTTGTCCATGTTCCCAAAATATGTAGCTACGTAAGAATCACTGTTAATGGATATATAATAATCCAAAGCAGCTTTTGTATTGCCATGCATGTTTGTGAAGTCTTCCCTACTAAGAAGACTTGACTTAGTAAATATGTTGCCATAGGTTTCTGTCAATCCTTCAATTTCCATCAAACCATCTCCAGCTGCTAGGTATATATTTGTAGTTGGTGGGATGGAAAGAGATTCAAGTACTAAAGCTGTCTCGTTAGGTGTAAGTGGACATTTTCCACGTAGTCTCCAAATGCGAGCTAAGTCTCCAGTCCATGGTTTTCTGTCCACTTGGGCTTCCTCTATGGCTTTCATGGAAGCAGGAGAAAGACCCCTGTACTCGCACTGGCTGTATGCAACCATATCAGGCTCAAAACGAAGATGAAGAGACAAAAATGGTTTAGGTATTGCATCTAGAAGCTCAGAGGCTTTCGTTTCCAAGGCTCTCGAAAGACGCAATGCTTTGTAACAAGCTTGACACAGAGCAGCTTTTGCATACAAAGGGTATCTGCAAGGGAAGAACAAAAACAAAGAACAATCAAACTTGGTTACAATACTACTATGAAAGAAAAGGGAGATGGGACACATGATCTTATTTATCGATAGCAGCCCCCGTTTTCTACAGAATTTAATCTATAATGGATGTTGAATAAAATAATTCTACATTGTTCAATGAAGTTGCTTGCATAGTCATTGGTAACATGAGACAAATATTACAACTCAATTTAAATATTCACATATATTAAGCAAACCAACCCTTTTGACAAACTCATAAAAATTACATATTATGGTGTTGAAAATCAGTGGATGTTAGGATGGATACAAACAAAGTCTCACGTTGGATAAAACAAGAAATAGACATGAGTTTATATGTACATATAAGATACCTCGCTTGGTAAGAGGCCTTTTAGAATGGTATCAAAAGCAAATCTGTGAGAATTTGGCTCAAAACAAACAATATCTTACCAATGCATGTGTGTCTTGAACCTCCTTACAGAGATAACTTAAGAATAAGTTCACTTATAAAGTAGTGCTTAATTGCCAAGAATTTACCAATTGTAACCATTTCATAATAAAGTGAAATCCCCCTTACAGGGAATGGAAACAAAAGAAAAAAAGAATATCCCAGGTCCTGATATTTTATTAGCAATCAATTTCTGGTTTATAGAACTAAAGACGAGTGAGTGAGGTTGTTGATGGAAGTGAGAGACATGATCATACCTGTCCCTTCTTTGGGACATTGCTGGTGTGATTGAAATGTACTTGTGTTCTAACAAAGATGGAAGAACACTTTCAACGTAATCAAATTGCCCTTTCCGTTTGCTACAGTCCACATGAACAGGTTCTTTAGATGCAACCTCCGGTGGTAACTCTTTCACAACTTTGACAAAGCCATTCATATGCTGTATGAAGTAGTCTACATCATATACATCACCAAAACCACTGTAATGGAACCAAGTATTCAGAACAATAACATAGATAAGGAGATAAGATAACAAAATTTACTAGTCAACCAATGAACACAATTTTGAGTAAAAATTTGCCTTGTTTCATTCCAATATGACGCCACTTCAAACTTTGGCAAGACGAGAGTTGCATTTAACAAACGAGCAATGCCCACACCGTCACAGAACTGCAACCCATGTAGATTTCATCTCAATTTAAGAAAGCAGAAAAATCACATTGAAGATATTCTAAGGATCTGGAGTAGAAATTCAAAAGATTTTTCTTCAAGTACTCACATCTCTTCGCATCTGATTGAGGCCCCCATAGCAATCCACTCTGATATATCCGTTGGTTTCTAGTGGTAGAGCTGCACCATTTCAAGAATAAACAAAAAAACGAAAGCAATTGTCTGCAATGAAAGCCAATTAAGGTTGATTCAGAAAATAAAAAGCCAATCTACAACCCTCACCCACCCTCAACAATGAACCCTATCAGTTACAAATCCAAGTCCAGATAACATTGAAAATCCAATCATATGCCCTAACTTCCAATCAACAACACAGAACTAGATCTACTCACTGCAACTTCCGGAATTTCAATTGCTATTGACAGTTCTAGCTATTCCTATACTGAATGCAAAATGAATCCAGTAATCACAAAAGTTCATTCAATACAACAAATTTTTAACCTTCCAAAGCTGAAATGTAGCAAAAACAAACACCAATCGATTCAAGCAAAAAGTACCTGCTTGATGTCCTTGTAGCCACCAATTGCAAGGTCTCCATTCCACGAGTCTCCGAACATTCCATATATCCACCACCTCCCCACTACACAACACCAATCCACGGATCAGCAACAATACGCAAAAATGTCACTACCCAACATACCAAGTCCACAATTAAAGGTGCCCAGTTGCCAATTTCAAAGCTTTATAGCCGATTCAAGGCATAAAAACAGATGGGTGCTGAAATTATAAACAACTTACCCAGAAATGGGATTTTGGGAGAAAAGGGAACGAGGCGATAGCAGTACGAGAAAGAAGAAGACTGAGAGCGAGACGAGGAGGATGCTGAAGAAAGGTTTTACAGAGAAAACGAACATTTGATTTCACAGAACTGGTGATGACAGTGTATAGATCCCTGCAATTGCACACAACAGTCGAAAAATCGCTTTGCTCTATGCATTATACACTTTGGTTCGGTATACTGCTACTTATTTCAACATTTAAAATAAGAAAATAGTAAAAGGTTAATTATTAATATAATATCTATCAATAAAAAATATTACGAGTTTGATTTATATGCTTGCTATTATAGATCTTTTTATGTTATCAAATAAAAAACATATGCTAATATGATTATTGTAAAATTAATAATTGATATGATAATTTGTAACGTAAAACATGTCGAGATGTCTTCAAAGCTCTGTCGGTGTGTAAAATAACACAATAAAAATTCTTTATATTATTAATACATAGGCGTATTTTTTTTACCACGAGTGTAATTTAAATTATTAAAATAACTTCAAAAACTAACTAATAATGTAAATGGCAAGAATTTATCCTCTTCTCTGTTTTCTTTAATGAATCATGTATTTTATCGTGAAGATAATTAAAATAAAATTGCCATCAAAACTAATGAAAATATACTAATGTTAATTTCATGAAATTGTAGATTAAAATATATAGGTGACATTACGATGGTCTTTACAATTTATCAAAGTAGATAAATTCTTTAAGGAAAAAAATATTCATTTAGATAAGTCGTGTTTAGAGTATAACTTTACAAAATATAAAATTTTAGTTTTTTTTTTTAACAAACGTTTAAAAAAAGTTTTACCAACACAGTTCAAGAAAACAAAATACTTATAAACTCGGTAAAAAAGATGTGAAATCACTGTTATAAGCACAATTTCCCCATAATTGAAAAACAAATATAAAATTGTATATTAAAATACTTTTATTATAAAAGAATTGTTTTCTCGGATTACTAGTACCCATAGAAATTCTTTTAAAAATTGCTCATTCCTGTAAATTTGAAAAATAAAATTGCATATCTCGAGCATAAAACAATTTATTGTCAGATGCATTTTTTTTAATTTAATACGGTTTTCATATATGTATATTTATATTAAGTTACATTATTTTTTTAAACAATGTCCAAATTGGATTGATGAGCGTTTTTTCAGAAAATTGAGTTTTTAATACACATCTTAATCTTCCTCTCACAAGATTCATGTCCAGCATGGTTCAGTGGTTTAGGTGAAGAAAATTAAATTTAAAATAAATTCCACAAATAAATTTTACTGTTTGCAGCAAAATGTATTTAACATCTGTTTTTAAAATTTTTCTAAACTCTAAACCCTAAATATATATATAATTATTCAAGTTTCAAGACTTAAGTCCCACTGAGTATTTTATTATTTATATCAAATAAATAATAAATAATTATTTATGAAAAATAATATTGTTTACTAGTTTATTGCTTTTCTAATTGCAATAAATTAATATTTATATTCTGGTAATTATGATGTATACAGCAAAAAGTAAACCAAAATCATGTTTAAATTAATATCAGTCCGATCTTGAAATGTTATTTTCAGAAGTGTATTAAAAAAATGGAAAGTCCCAACTGAAATACTCAAAAATAGAAATTTTTTTGGTAGATCGAATCATGTTAGTGAGGCGCAAATGTTTTAAGTTCGGCAACCATAGTTCTACCTTTTCACAGTAATGTTATTGCACAAAATTAAGAGTGTATATTGAATATTCTTCTAACAGGTTCATATTGATCTAATATTATTGAACCTAGAAGATCAAAACAGTTAGTGATGAACAAAGATCAAAACTCTTAATCATATAAGTAGTTATTGTTCAAACTGAACTAGCTAAATGTGCCAATACTTCTTGACAAACTAAACCCAGCAACAGCAAAAAGACGTAAAAAGAACTCTATTTATAGGTAAAAGAAATGAAGGAATAGCATAATTCAACACTGTAGGTCAGTCTATATAATAATGAATGCTATGCTTGTCCCTACCTACACAAACCACACCATGGCAGTTCATTAAGGAATACATGTCTTCTTCACAAGAGACATGGACAACTTACTCTAAGTTGTTTGCTCTTCAGCATCTCCATTTTCACCATCTTCAGCAGCTGCTGCAGCCATCAACTCATCGAAGTTTGCAGTCTTTCCCAACAATATTTCAATCTAGGAAAATTTATCGCAAGAAGTGTTTTAAAGCCATCAAGGAGATTCCTAAACTATAAATTGGTTGAAAAAGATTCATAGAAACACATCCTAACTTAATAAAAAATAGTGTTTTTTATCCTTACCTTGGCCTTCTGGACAGGTCTTCCTCTGGAATCATCTTTTATGTCAACTGTCGATGTCATGATTTCTGCCAAAATATTGCATCAGAATCAAGTTTTATTTTTCAATAATTAAAAAGAGAGTATGTAGGAAAGGTAGACATTTCCATAAAAGAGAATATGGTATCTCACTCTTTTCAACAGCAAGCCCATTGTTTTTCAAGATTTCTGCAACAGTAACAACTGTAGCAATAGCTGGACCAAAAAGTAAATAAAAATATATATGAGAAATAGGTTAAAAGGAATGACTATACATAAACGTGAATATCAAGTAGTAGACCCAGTCTCCTTGGTAATCTTAATTGTGAATAGCATTCTGCAATGCGAAGAATAAGTGTATTACGCTTGAATCCAAAATTAAAACTGTAAGGTGGAGTTCAAATTTGAAGGGCTGTTAGAGTAGAACTTCAGGCTAGTCAGGTGTTTATACATACAGCTCAGTTAGACAAATAGCAACACCGTTCATCATAACTCCAATATTTGTTTATGCTTACAACAGAAAAATCATGTAACCTTCAGTTTATTTGGGATTTCAAATGGAGCAAAACCATGGGTCCAGCATTTCAAGTAAATTTGAAACATGTATGAACAGTTATAGACCACACTACCCTTAAATGCAATAATTCTTTGATCAGAGACATCGTTTGAAGCTTGTTTAATTAAATGAAGGAAACAGAAAACATGGCAAACACATTAATAATGTCAAAATTCAGACTTAAATTCCATTCATTCCACTTCATCCAGTATCATATACTTTTCAACTTTCCATGCAAACAAAAAGAGTTACTACAGTCTCTCCCTCCCGTCTATCCAAATCAATTTGACAGCACTGTACATCTAAAGTTGAGAGTGATGAATGCAACAGAGAGCACTGGTAAAGGGGAAGGAATGGAAGAACAAGTACCAATCCAGATGGACAAGGCACAAGTGCAAGAATGATGGTGCATGGCTGCTCTTCTGAAAGGCTAGTTGGTTAGGAAGATAAGGTGTGAAAAGCAGACGATGTTACTGGAAGGAACCATCATGAATAAGATTTTCAGAAAAAAGGGATATTTTTCTAATCCTATATAATCATTTCACAGTGTAAGGGTCAATCAAATATTGCTTGGGTGCATTAAGAAAACTTCTAAGAGAACTTTTCTTCTACTTGGGTGAAGACATTAGGTTCAATTCCAGGAAAATGACTTCTTAGATAAATACATTATTTCTCTTTACAATAATCTAGGAGAGTAAAGTTCTTTTCTTTCTCTTTGAGAAAGATGCTATACACTAATGGGGTGGCGGAAAATAAATAGCAGAAGAAAAGTAAATAACACAGTATAGAACCTATTCAACTTGTCAAAGCCTTAAATCATTTGTGAATCTGCCTAAAACAAATTACTTCCTAGGTAACAATGCTCACCGAAAACAAACTCCACATTATAAATGTGCAAAAAGAAAAAAGAAATCAAGAAATGATACCCATTCCCAGTGCTGAGAGCTCGACCTCGTTATGCTGTTGCATGTACCTCTGAAAAAAAAACATTAAAAAACACAACAAAATCAAATAGAATCTGAATCCAACATGAGCACAAAAATTAAACAAAATCCAGAGCTGAAAAAATGACGAATATTGAAAGAAAAATGAGTACCTTGGCGAGATTGACGTAAAAGAAGAGAGGCTTTTTAGTATTGGAGACCTGAATACGATTCTTCTTGTAAGTTTCGGTGATATTGATGTTGTTCACTCCCTCCGTGATTGCTTCCATTGTTTGCTGTGACTGTGAGGCAACTGCTACACAAAACGAAGGTATCAACAACAAGAAACCCTAATCAACCAAATATTCCCCAAATCTGAATCTATTGCCTTCTTCTGATCTCGTATTACAGGAACAAAGGCCTATAGATATTTTAGATGATGTGGCCCATAATTACTACTGGGCCTTGTTCTGGCCCGTCAGTTTAGTTTCGCAATTTCTGATGAAAATTTGTTTTCCTTCAATTTAAATTTCAAATATTAAAACGGTTAAAAAATATACTTTTAGTGAGAGAAAATGTGTTTAAGTTTCAAAATTATAATTGATTTATAATAATTAAATAAAAAATACAATAAATAACTCTACTATATGATAATTTGTAGAAATTTTCTTACTAGACATATCTATTTTTTTCTATTGTATCTTGAGTGTGAGCCAATAAGAAATTATTAAATTTAAAATTCATTTTTTTTAAATGGTAATGCAACAAACAAGACCCCTATCATTGTGTATATTTAACTTTGTAGACATGTGATCTTATAAATTTGTACTTTTATTTATAAAAAAAATATATTTTCAACCCATAAAATACAAGTCAATGATTTTCTTTTGATTATGAACAGAGTGGATTTGTATTTTCCTATACTACTTTTTCTACACTCCAACAACAGGATAAGCATGTTCCAAAAAAGTAGCTTCTCAAATTAAAGTATTATGGGCCTTACAATGGGCCCACATGCACAGGGGTCCAGATGATTGATGACAAGGCCCATATAATTCTCAACCACTAAAGTTCTAAAAAATAAGTTACTTTTTCTATATTATAATTCAATTTTGTGAGTAGACATCAACTTAGAAAGTTAGTATTATTACTCATATAAAATTTTGACTATTGTTCCATTTTCTCGGATAAATTTTTGACAGTTGTTCGGTCTTCAGGTACCTTTCAAGTTCAAAAGAAATAAAATTTAATAAAAATTAAAGTATAATAAATAAATACAATATAATTTTATTTAAGTTATACATTTTATTTTATTTCATCGTAAAATTTATCAGCGATAAAATTTGTATTAAAATTTTTAGTAATTCTTTTTCAATCAAACAATATTTATCTTTTATCTTATTTCTAAGTTTATTTTTAACAATTATCGTAATTGAAAAAAATCTATCAATTATAACAATTAAAACATGTAAAATTAATATCAATCGAATAAGTTAAATATGTTTATTTATTTTTAAGATAAAGATGTCAATACTCAGGTTTGCCTCTCAGTCTTGTTATATGCTTTTATTTTGCATTGAATAATGTTATCTCAAAAGAAAAGTTCAAATTAGAATACCTATAATTAAATGTTAATGAAACATACGAACCTCGTGCTAAAATTATATTTTTTTTATGAGAGTTTAGAAAAAAATAATTTGTGAGTGTTGATGGTGAAAGGTAACCTACAATTATTATTGAGAAATGGTTGGTGAAATAAAGAGGAAATGTATTCTGGCAGATAACATGTTTGATGAAATGTTTACCATTTACGATGAAACGAGTGGTGGAGGAAATTCAAAAAAACTGGACTACTAGATAAGGAATGTTTAAAGAAACTGCACAATTGTTTTGGAATGAATAAAAAGAAAATAAAAATAAAAATAAAAATAAATATATATATATATATATATATATATATATATTAGATACGTTGGTATGATGAGAAAACAGAATCTCTAAAAATCTGGCATGCATGAACCACTTTGAAATCTGTGGTCCCAATTGATTCAGTTAGGTTTATATCAAATAGGATCAATGAACTTGATATGTAAATATGATAAATTATTATTTTTAAATTATTTAATTTGTATTTGTGATTTTGATCTTCTTTTATATATATATATATTTGAAAAAAGAAATTGTTTTATCTCTTGATTTTTTGTATGTATTCCACCATTTAGATCTACTTAAAGTGTCATAAAATAGCTGAATTACCATTGAAAATATAAAATGCAAAATTGAAGATTGATTTTAAATGCTTAATTTAAAAAATGTAAATAAGCTTCACATGATTAACATACTTTATTAGAAGAAATAAATAAATCTGACTAGTTAGTTTAGATTTAAAACTTAGGATAGATACATGTAAAGAAAAAAGTGTGAATATTGATTTAATTTGAAATTAAAAATGAATGTTGTTATGATTTAGAATAAGAAATATATTGTTTAGCATAAAATTTCACATTGTAGTTGAAAGATAAATATATTTTGATAATTTTTTATTTATTTATAATACTATTATTATTATTTTCTTCAATATAAGTTCAGATTTTAAAAAAAAATCTCTAAATTAGTGCATTTTAAAATTATTTTGTTGGTACATCATCACGTGAAGAGTGTATAAATTGTTGGTTTAATCATTCACTAAGTTCCTATTTTCGCATGGAATCTCAATTTCGTCCCTTTCTTTCTGAAAATATCAATTGGGTTCCAATTTTATGAAAATTGCAACAAATCGATCCTTTCCGTTAAATAGTGTCAAACGGCGTGGACGAGCGTTCGTTCGCTGGTGAACGAGCGTTCGTTCGCTGGTGGACGAGCGTTCGTTCGCTGGTGGACGAGCGTTCGTTCGCTGGTGGACGAGCGTTCGTTCGTCATCACAGCATCCACTCATCAATTTTTTTAACGCCGTCCAGCCAATTTAACGGAAAGGATCGATTTGTTGCAATTTTCATAAAATTGGGATCCAATTGATATTTTCAGAAAGAAAGGGACGAAATTGAGATTCCATGCGAAAATAGGGACTTAGTGAATGATTAAACCTAAATTGTTTGAAATAAAAAGTTTTTTTTTTCTTTCTTACTTCTTTTTAATAACGTTGTCAATGAATGAATTGTAGCATGATAATTCCATTCTAAGAATACAACATCATACTTCAAATTAATGTATGAAAATGAAACATATTGCTCTTATCTCAATCATGATATTATAAATTATAAAAAGACAATACACGAAAAAAAACAAGCTAATATAATTGAAATAAATCATATCAAATTCTACTTAAAAACATAAAAAAATAAATAGACACATCAAGACTAGAACGACATTCGAACATGTTACTAACCCATGTCATATTTATTAGGTATAGGATTTGTTGTGTAATTTTAATATCAATTAGAAAAATCACATATAACAGGATTTTTTTTTACGTATTTATTAAATTTTGACGACTTTTTACATTATGAAAAAATATTTTATAAAGCTTTTATGACATCTTCTAGTTTGAGTGATACTCTCAAATAAAATTTCTCTTACTTTCAATAATTATATTTCGGTTGCTTGAGCTATACAAACTTTTTGATTGAGGATAAATTAAAATCAGAGATGATAAGTGCTAAATATAATAGAAAATAAAATTTTCATTATAAAATGAAACTTATATATTTTTATATTAAGTTTTGATTGAATTTTGTATTTATTTTTATGTTTATGGTAATTAAAATTTCTTTTTAAACATTAAATATTTTTAATTAATAAGATACTTATTAGATGAATTTAAAAGTCTCTATCATGTATAAAAATGAATGAAATTTAAATCAAAGGACAAAAAAAAAATTTAAACCTAAAAATACAAATAAAGTTAACACACGTGTATATTTCCACTAGTTATAATAAAATGTTTTTATAAACTAAAGATTAACTCAATTATACATTATCTTGATTCAATATGGTTTATTCAATCCATAAATCATGTATTAAAAATGTTTATATAACATAAAAATGTATTGTATAAACTAAATTATTTATTTTAAATAGTTTAAAATATTGATTTCATTATTGTTATGTTATAAAAGTATACCAATATATTTAGGTTTGAAGTTTGTTATCAGAATCTTTTAAAATAATTAAAAAGTTATGTATCTTGTATATATATTTTTTCAAACATTTTAACATTATTTATGTTATTGGTATATGTTAATGTTTATGATTATTATTATTAATTGTAAAATATATCTACATAATTATACATAAATAATATTAAAATATTGTAAAAAAATTATTATAAAAGTATCCTTATCCATTCTGTATAGTTCATATTTTTGTTTCAGTTTTTCAGTAAATATTTATTTTGTAGTAAAAATACTTAAAAGAAACGAACCTGTGCGTGCGAGCTCACGTGTCATGACCAGTAACATCCTAGTCAGCATCGAGTGGTTGATGTAATCGACAAAATACGTATCTGACACGTACAAGGAAAACGGACACGTGGCGCTCAACAGGTGCTTCGGTGCTTCTATATAGAGCAGCAGCAGTTCTGCCACTTCCGTGACAGTCTTTCTACCATCAAAGTTTTTCTTTTCTTTCAATTTTCCATTTCCATTTTCTTTCTTCTTTCACTCTTTCTGGTTTTTCATTTTCTGTTTGTTGAAGAGAGTTTTAGGGTTGACAATGAAGGACAACGGTGTTGAAAACCCTCTTCGCCTTCAGTCTGTAAATCATATCTCCCTCATATGCAGATCAGTGGAAGAATCAATGGATTTCTACCAGAACGTTCTAGGATTTTCCCCAATCAGGAGGCCTGGTTCTTTTGATTTTGATGGGGCATGGTAATTACTTTCACACACATCATCATCGTCGTCAGAAACCATTAACATCAAGATCCAATTTTTAAGTTAAACAGACAGTTAATTAAGTAAACATAAACATATTTTTCCCCAAATACATATATTTGTTGTTTTCTTATCCCAGGTAGGGTTTTCATTTTCTGGGTGTTTAACTTGCAGGCTATTCGGCTACGGTATCGGAATTCATCTGCTAGAAGCAGAGAACCCAGAAAAGTTGCCAAAGAAGAAGGAAATTAACCCAAAGGATAATCATATATCTTTTCAGGTCAGAATAATTTGGTGAAAAGTTGAAAATCAATTTCACATCAAGTTGGACATGTTGTTTGGATGATCAGAATTCAGGAATACATCGAAGTGGATTATTAATTAATGGTTTCTTTTCTTAAAGAGAACAAAAGAAACATGTATAAACACAAAGATCAAACAAAAGATAGGCGAAATAAAGACATTTTCAGATTTACACATCATCACTTTTTGCTTTGTATTTGCCTACACTTCTGTCATCTGACACAAACGCACTCAAAC